CAGGCGTGCCGTTGTATCGCATCAGATGACCATCCTCTATTTCACTTTACCGTCATGCGCCCCAAGGAGTGTCTTCATCTTGATACTCCGAATGTCGTAGATGCTTTCCTTAAGCATCGAGACTTGGAACGAAACCATGCCATCGTTTGTGATTGCTCTATAAAGGAACCTTTAGGCTGTGATACCACTTTGTTGGAATAGAGAAACTACTAGGATTTGGCAAAGGTTAAAAATTTATGGAATAAGCTTCACTTCTATTATCACATTTTCTTGGTTTGATACAAACTCAAAGACTTCACCCTTATTTAAACTAGTTGCATCTCCTAAATTAATGACTAGGATTGTGTTACTACAATTATAATCTAATGGTTACAATAATTTCATATCTACCAGACAATAATTTCATACCTACCACACTTTCTAGAATAATCTTGTAGATGAGACATGGTTCTAGAGATTAGGCTTTTATTGGAGTTTTTTTAAACAACTAAAATGAAGTTTATATTTCAACAATTTAGTGCATGATTTTGTTAAATGCAGTCCTCGTGTTCTCTCTAAGTTTTGAAATGCCAAAATTAGTTAATCTTAAGAGTACTTAACCGGTGCTACAATCATCACATCGCATGCAACCAAGGTAACTAACTATGAGGTCTTGACAATAGATGGTCAAGCTTTTCTATATGATTATCTTGTCATAGATATTGACCATCATGGTTCTATTGCAGTAAACAGAAAGGATAAACACAGAAATTTTTAGCAAGGTATTTATATCTTACACCTTTGTTGTTTTAAATTAAACATTCGTAAATTGGCATTGAAATAACATGGAAATATTATCAAATCTTCAAATAAAATAAAATAAAATCTTTGACTATGATTTGCTGTACAATAACTAAGTTTTCTCTTCGAATATACTTAACATAGTATTTTCAAGTCTTCAGCTTATATAACTTGGCTTTATTGGTCTCCATTTTTTGGCAGGAGCTCAAACTTGGATTTCTTGCAGAGAAACACAATCCAGTGGTGGCGAATAAAGGGAGCTCCAGAGAAGGAATTTGCAATTAGTAATAGCTCATGATATACTTATGAGTTCATATTGAAATAAAATGACGTGATTTCTTACTTTCTTCTGCTATGCTTGCTGTGTGTGTTTGTATGTGCCTTTGGGTGTGTTTTGATTTTGCTACCTTTGGCTGAGTGTTTTTGTTTTTTTGCTGCAAATCAGCTACGTAATTTGTGTTGCCATTATATGATCAATGAAATTAGAATGTTTTAAGTGGGTAGTAATTTTAAGATATTTTATTTTTTTGGCGAATTTGAAAAATTATTTGAGGGTGAAAGTAATCAAGAATCAGGAATCATTTTATTTTAGTTTTATATATAATTTTTATATTTGATATTTATACTGGACAATGATAATTTCTAAATTTGTAATATCTAATTTATAATTTATGAGTTCTGGCAGTTAATTAATATTTGCTTCGCCTTAATGTAATTTATAAATTTATATTTTGATGATTCATTCAAAAAAAAAAATATATTCTATTTCTATTTTTGTTTATTTTTTTTTCAAATAAATAAATATTTTTCTGTTCAAATAAAGTTTCGATCCGGCTCATTATGTTTTTCGAATCGACTCGGCATGTTTTCAAGCGGGCTTGAGCAAGCTTTCAGCCTTGAACGATCCGGTTCGCGAGCTAAAAATAGCATTAGAGCTGGATCGTAAGACCGAAAAAAAGGCTTATTATTCGCGGACATTTCGTGTTCAATTCATTAAGAAACTCGTGTTCAACTCGTTTGCTTACGAGCTAAATACAGAACTTTTTTGCGCTCGATATATGAACGACCCAAGCATGAACTAAAATTTGTTCGTTTGTGTTTGGCTCGAATTAATTAAATTATATATATATATATAACTATTTTTTTCTCGTCT